CATTTTGATGAACTTCACACGTTTCTCAAACGAGGTTCGATTGAAGCAAGGAGCTTGCGAGGTCCTTGATATTCAGGAAATCATGCCTCAAGACCAACAAAAAAGAAGGGGTTACGCACGTTCGCTTGCGGGTGGCTCGTGCGTCGATGGTGGCGGCGTTTTTCGCATCGCCACCTGGGCAGAGTCCGACGTCTACGGTAGCACACTTGCTTGCCACGCAAACATCGCAAGTTTGTTGCTCATTTGGACTCCCAAATATTTCATTATTTGCATCTTTCTTGATTTCTCGGTCAAGGACAACATGATTATTTTTTGCTTACAACCAACGACTTTGGTATTTCTCCGAAATGAGCTCTGAACATATCACGTTAAAAAGAAACCCGTCCTTTACCCGTGCTGACGAACGATGGGAGCAGCGTTTTTCGCAGCGCCGCCTGGGCAGAGTTTGACGTCTATAATAGAGTACTTGCTTGCCACGCAAACGTCCCAAGTTGGTTGCTCATTTTTATTCGCAAATATTTTATTATTTGCATCTTTCTGCATTTTTCGGCCAGGGACAACATGATTATTTTTCGCTTACAGCCAACGATGCCAGTATTTCTCTGAAACAAGCTCTAAAGATTTCACGTAAAAAAAGAAGGCAGCGTCTCCTGCGCCATGCGGTGCAGCAGCCAGCCTCACACAGAAGAGCTCTTTTTGCATGTAAGTGACGTCACTTTAAAAATTATTGCTTAAAGCTATTTGACTCTATAAATTATTATTGTATAATTCATTAAACCTACAAAAATATTACTAAGCAGGTGTTTCATGGGTCAATTATCTTATATTTGTTGATTAAGCACATATCACAAGTATTTTATATACAGGGGTGCCATGGGTGCTGCGGCTGGAAAGGTAAACAGTGGTAGATATTGCAGCTGCGATGTGTGGTGGTGGTAACAACCTTATTGAAAACTCCGGCGAATTCGTGGCCTGGGCCTAGGCCACCCCCAAGGAGGACTGGAGACCCTGTGCTATCACTGCCTCAAGGGATTGCTGAATGCCATGTTGATTTTGGAAATTGAAGCTAGCCGCGACTGGCTCGCCCATGCCATCTCCTGACGCCGACAAGAGCTCTCAACAAGTGGTGCCCCAAGTGGTGTTTCGACAAGTGGTGCCCCGTACTCTAGCTTGTGTGACCATCTTTCATATCTTCTCCTTACTTCTGGATGTCACTGTCCCTGCGCCACGCTCTCTACTTTCCCCTCTCTCTATATACCTTTTAATCCTATCCCTTTCATCCCTCCTTAACAGTAGCTCCCTTGTGAGCTACTGTTGAGGTGTCCTCCCCCTGAGAAACAGTTACAGGGCTCACTTTTACATTCTTTTTATTTAAGAATCACATCGGAAATTGTAGCCATTCACAGCGCCGCAGCTTCATCCGAGTGTGTGCACCATAAATTTTCTCAGTGTGAAGTACGATTATTGTTGTTGGATGTACTGCATTTTCTAGATTGCAATGCCAAGCGTCGTGTTGTCGAAGGTGAAAGTGTTCTTGCTACCAAGTTTGGCTTGTCACGAAGGGCAAGGTCGAGGATGAAATAAATGTTTTTGCACAGTTCACGTGTGACTGTCCGGACGCGCATGCATGAAACCCCAGTGCGTCTGCGAAGTGTTCTTACAAAGCCTGTAATCTCCAAAGGCCAAACCTACTGCATTGCAGGCTGTTTTGATAAGTGCGAACACGTACGCCCATTCTCATCCGGTAATACGTAAATGCTCCCGTGCTGTCACTGGCGGTGCATGTTATTCAGCGAGGCAGACAAGCTGTTTTGTAGTTACAAGGGCTAACACAGTCGGCACTTGCTCTAGGGCGTCGTTTATCTAGTGCTGATCACCTAGAGAAATACGGTGGCACGTCAGTATTTTGAAGCGGCCTGCCGGTTACTTCGTCAGGTGACGGTACGCTGCTGGATATCATAAAGTTTCCGGTTGTATATTCGGCGTGGCGATGTTGCAGTGCGCCTTTCTGTTATCAAAACTTTGATAAACCCTGGCAACAATCCTGACGCGTGTGCCGGAGAAACCGATACAGCCAGCTGCATTTGAATTTTTTGTGTTCTTTTGCGTCTGACCGATCAACAACATTATTTCGCAATATACTTTATCATAAATATCGCCAATTCTGCGGTGGACATCAAACATGCAATTTCAAAGGGCCTATGGACAGGACCACCAGCAACAAGTCAGGCTGACAAGAGGCCGATGAGGAGGCGCAAATGTCGAAACAATACCTATGCGAACAAATAAAGGAAAAGAAAAACAATGGGGCTCGAACCATTCACCTCACCTGTCCTTTACTTGCCGCTCTAGCTAACCATGCCAAAGCTGCCGATTTGTTTGGAAGGTATAACTAGCCAATTTTGCATTGCTATAACGCAGGACGTACCTTAAAAACTTACCAGTTTAACGTTTGGCAGAACTTTAACTGCTGCTATCGTTACACCTAGATGTAACGTTAGACACTCCGACTATTCAAACAAAGCGCCTAACCTTAAAAATGCATGAGGTCACTTCAGTGCGGCGCAGTAGCAGTTTTTGTGTGGAGGTGACTGGTGCACCACGCGGCGCAGCAATCACTGCCTAAAAAGAACGGTGTGGCTAGGGTTACGTCCAGACGTAACTATAGCCACCGCAATCGTCACGTCCAGACGTACCTATAGCCAATGGTAGCGCTACGTCCAGATATAACTTTAGCCACTGCTCATGGCCACTGCTTGCGTTATGTGCACGGTCCCACGGTGACGTTTGCATCTGCTACGGTAACGTTTGGCACTGCCGCTCGCCGAATTAGGCGGTCATAAACACAAATTCACCAATTTACCCGAAATCACATGTGTGTTGAAAGCTGCGCCGTTTATTGCGCTGGACTTTTTCGCGTATCAGCAGCTCTGTTGAGACAGACCAGCTGACGAACTTTTGGAAGACGTTGTCGGTACCACACTACTGTATCGGGTGCTGCCTTTTGGTTAGCTTCTTTAAAGCGGTCAACAAGGGGAGCAATCATGATGGAACCCTGCTCACACCGCGGTTAGTGGTAAACAGCGGCTCTCCAACTGGATGCAAGTACGGTTTGCGTGCCCGTGCTGAAGTATTAAACAATCACTAAGATTACGCCCATACGGTAACAGTAGTTACAGCTGTCCCGCGTCGCGACATGCTGATATCTCGTCGCCCGAAAACCTCATCAACTTAATTTTAAAGGTGCAGCCCGCGCCAATGTAGTATCCATAGGTGTTCTGTGGAAGTCTCTCTAAACATTGGCCCACGCGGCCTACTTGTAGCGCACTGCCAGTTGTAGCAGCCTGTAGCCGCGACATTAGGTACAGGTGACAGCAGCAATTTCGGAAGAATTTATCGTGATTTTATATACATTATCGTGAATAATTGTTGGTCCATCATGTAGTTTGAATTATTTCAGAACCTCTCATTTATTTTGCACTGATATTGAGCATTGATAGCCTGTTTTAGGCCTCTATTGACCACAGCACGATCGCGTCACATCAGACAGTGGATGGACGATACGTACGCTTGAAAAATACATTAATATAGATTACGGTTATTTTTGAGCGACAAAAAGACATCCATCTGACTCAATATATATATATATATATATGTATGTATGTATGTATGTATGCATGTATGTATGTGTGTGTGTGTGCGTGTGTGTGTGTGTTTAGGGGTGTAATGATAAAAACATGAAAAAAATCACCTCAGAACACAAAACGAATTCTCACTGAGGCCATGGAGTTTTCTGTGGGAAACTCTACGACTCATAGAGTCAATACACAGACTCTACAGGAAAAGCTTCCAATAGCGCTCATGCTGGGATAATCTCGCGGTGCGCTTTCGCCGCTAACACTCACTATTTTGCTACAGCACAACTGTACGGCACTGTAGCAACGCGGTTTTGCGTGTCTGCCGCGGCCACGAAGGCCATCTTCTTTGAATATATATATATATATATATATGAAATAGACGATCAGAGTTTCTTCCGGCTACCGTAAAAAAAGTTATAAACTTCAAGAATAGTGCAGTATAGGAAACAAAACAATGAAATATTTATTTAATCGTAACAGTTTCAGCTGGTGGACCAGCCTTCTATATATATATATATATATATATATATATATATATATATATATATATATATATATATATATATATATATATATATATATATATATATATATATATAAGGGAAAGAAGTTTATACCTAAGGGCTCGTTTTTCCGTGTTTTGACACAATATTAATGAGATCTAACAGACAGTACATTATATATATATATATATATATATATATATATATATATATATATATATATATATATATATATATATATATAAGCGACGCCCGTGGAACAATAATGACCAATAATGCCGCCCTGTTTAAAAAAATACTTGCACAAAAAAATGAATAAAATATTTTAGTAGGGCTTGCACCAACGACTGCACTGTTCTGCGCGTGCTGCATTAGCTCGCCACGCCACGGCTGCCGGTTTGTTTGGTGGGTTTAACAAGCCGGTTTTGCATTGTTGTCACGCTAAACGTAACTCTACCTCTTACTTTTACGTCTGGACGTAACTCTAACGGCTTCTATCATTACGTCTAGACGTAACGCTAGTCACTCCGTAAAACGAAACCGGTCCTTTAACCGTGCGAACGGCTTCATACGCCAGTTCTTACTTCATTAATGAGATTACAGTCGATAGGGTTGCGTACATCGATGATTCTTGAGGCTTGCTGACGTTCTTTGTGTCAAAAAAAAAAGAAATAAAGAAAGAAAGAAAGAAAGAAAAACTCACAGTTCGGAGCACTATTTTTTAGGAGCAGCACTTCCACCACTGGCCTCAGAGACGCCAACTACTACAGCGGAATCATGCGGAATAACGCAACCCACCGGAATTACGCGGCAAGCAGCGGACTTGAGAGTCGACTGCACCTTGAGGAGCCAAGCTCACCTGTCACGAATATAGCGTTCGCCCAGCCAACGTGCACCGACCGCACCGCACCAACATCGCCAGGACATGAACGAAAAGACTTCGCACGATCCGGGGTGAAGCATTGAAACTTGTCAAAGCCGTAGTAGCGGTACACCACGGCTGTGTTACAATTCTTAGACATCATGTAGACAGTCTACGCAGACTGCTTAGAAGTTAGAAGACAGCACCACAGAACACACAGCACCGAGCACATGCTGTCCGAAAATTGGAACACGCACACACCTAATGATGCTGATACTGATGACCTCCGATGGATGGCGCTCACCCACAGAGGGAGGACGTGAAAGCTGGCGACTAAATATAACTTGACCGCGGCAAATAAGCAAAGGGGGCCAGTTAAAAAGCAAGTGAGGGAAACAGAGACGCTCATGTGGAAAGAGAGGATGGAAAAGAAGGGATCGCTGGGAATCTACAAGGCAAGCAAACAAGAGATCCGGAAAGAGAACATTTATGACAACAATAAAGGTAGTGCGTTGCTCTTTGAGGCGCGGGCTGGCTGCTTGAGAACTCTAACTTACAGGAGCAAATATTCGTCACAGGATGAGACATGTGTTGGATGTGGCATAAATAAAGAAACAATCGACCACATAGTCATGGAATGCCAAAAGATTCAGCCGGATAGAAATGGGGGGAAGGTCACACTTCCTGAAGCGCTGGGCTTCGCGGTTGATGGAAGCATTAACTGGTCAGCAGTAGGTATTACTAAGCAGCGACTGGAGTATTGGTGGAGGAAAAGCAGAGAAGTCGATAAAATAACATCCCAGCCAAGAGTAGCGGCTGGGCAAAATTAAGAAGACATCCGAGTTGAGGGACAAAATTTAAACTCGAACTATTAAGGTAGGCTAGATGGCGCAAGCCGTCACCCCGATTCAAAGGGGAGGCCTTTAATCATCATCATCATCAACATCAGATGGACAAAGGGAGATAGACATTACCGCAGATGAACATCTGCGGTAATGAGGGACATAGGTTAGATTTTAGATTCAGTAAGGAAAAATCAGCAGTCATGATTTTCAATCACAACGAAGGTAGTGAGCTTAGAACACAGGAGGTCACGCTAGAGATAACAGATAAATACAAATATCTGGGCGTATGAATAAGCAATGGGACCGAGTATCTGAGGGAACACGAAATATACGTGACGACTAAAGGTAACAGGATTGCAGCAGTCATGAAAAATAGGGCACTGTGGAATTAAAATAGGTATGATGTTGTGAGAGGAATATGGAAAGGGGTCATGGTTCCTGGGCTGACGTTCGGCAATGCGGTCTTGTGCATGAGATCAGAAGTTCAAGCAAGATTAGAAATTAAGCAACGTGGAATAGTTAGGCTTGCTTTAGGAGCTCACGGGAATACACCAAATCAGGGAGTACAAGGTGATATGGGATGGACATCATTTGAGTGCAAGTAAGCTAGCAGCAAGATAAAATTTGAGAAGCGATTGAGAGAAATGGGGGAAGAGCGTTGGGCTAGGAAGGTTTTCAGCTACTTGTACATGAAGAATGTCGATACAAAATGAAGGAAGCGAACCAGGAAGTTGACTGGTAAATACTTAGAAAACAGCAGGTGGCCAAACCAAAAAGAACTATCAGTTAAGAAGAAAGTGAAGGAAACGGAGACTGACATGTGGAGAATGGGCATGATCAAGAAGTCCGCACTAGAGATCTATCGAAATTTTAAGCAGGAAATTGCCAAGGAAAAGATCTATGATAATACTCGGGGTAGTCCTCTACTGTTTGAGGCCAGGACGGGATCGATCGATATGTGGGGTTTAACGTCCCAAAACCACTCTATGATTATGAGAGACGCCGTAGTGGAGGGCTCCGGAAATTTAGACCACCTGGGGTTCTTTAACGTGCACCCAAATCTGAGCACACGGGCCTACAACATTTCCGCCTCCATCGGAAATGCAGCCGCCGCAGCCGGGATTCGAACCCGCGCCCTGCGGGTCAGCAGCCGAGTACCTTAGCCACTAGACTACCGCGGCGGGACAGGCCAGGACGGGAGTACTGCGAACCAAGACATATCGGGCCAAATACGAAGGGGTAGACACAGTATGCAGTGCGTGTGGAGAAGAAGAATAAACTGCCGAACACTTGATAATGTTCTGTAAATGGCTTCACCCTGTAGTTCAGGATGATGGCGCAGAGTTTTTCAAAGCACTGGGGTTTAGGAACCGGGAGGGCAAAATAGACTTTAAGCGGGTAGAATTACCTAGAAGAAGGTTATTTGATTGGTGACAAAAGTCAAGGCAAGTCAAGGCACGAGGAAAAAGTAAACCCTTCACTGCAAAGTACCAGTTCCCAACTTCGCTATTTAAAGCAAAAAAAAAAACAACACGGATAAATCTAGGGGTAAGTTCACTAAGTATTAAGGTTAGGTGGCGTTAGCCGCCGCCCGATCTAAAGGGTACAGCCACATTCATCCGGATGGTCCAAGAACCGGGCGGCGGTTTACTTAAATGAAACTAAAATGAAATTAAAGCCAATCTGAAAAATTAATTTAGCGATAATACTACCAATGAACAAAAATGTTTGCTGAGCAAGTGGTCAAACCATATCTTGTTTTTGACAGACATCGCTACGAATTATATTCTAAAGATCTGAAAAGGTGGGGATTCACTGGCACGGTAATCTTTTAGTTGCGTTGACGTAATCAAACACAGTGGAGCATATATCCCTGTGGCAGTAACCAAATGAAGTGCCGCCAAGTCAGAAAAGTACTGGTAGATTTACTTGTATTCCTAGTTTTTGTAATGGGGCTACTAAATATTTTTTTTCCTTATAAGAGTAACAATGACAGAAAAAAAAGAAATGCTCGATTGTTTCAATTTCGTTGCAAAAAATGCACAGCGGTGACGCCTTGAGTCGAGCTTTGTTAAGGTAATAATTTAGTTGTGGAACTGCACAATGCAAACTGGTATAAGTGACTTCTAACTGGCGAGATACACACCACTGTTTATGCCCCGCCGCGGTGGTCTAGTGGCTAAGGTACTCGGCTGCTGACCCGCAGGGCGCGGGTTCGAATCCCGGCTGCGGCGGCTGCATTTCCGATGGAGGCGAAAATGTTGTAGGCCCGTGTGCTCAGATTTGGGTGCACGTTAAACAACCCCAGGTGGTCTAAATTTCCGGAGCCCTCCACTACGGCGTCTCTCATAATCATATAGTGGTTTTGGGACGTTAAACCCCACATATCAATCAATCAATCAATCAACACCACTGTTTATTTCAGCAATACCTCAAATGCTCGAAATCTCTAAACTTATCCAAATTATCTATTCCCCGTTGCAGACAAGCATTTCGGAACCTTAGTGCTGTCACGTAAGCCGTATTTGGCAAAACTGGGATGGTGGGCCCACTCAAGGATACTGCTGCCATAGAGTTTCCCAATAGGGAACTCTGGCGCTAGTGTCTACAGAAGCTGCAATGCACGGCGCTTCAGCGAGCATGGGAATGATGGTTGATGACTTATTTGCGACGACACTAAATGTCGAAGTGAAATCTGTTGAGCGAATTCATAGAATTGGACGCAGACAAGCAAACAAATCGCGACCGGTTGTCCTAAAGTTCATTGACTACCGCGAAAAAATAAGTGTTGTAAGAAATTGCCACAAGCTTAAAGGCCAGAACGTTTCAGTTAGTGAATATTTTTCTACTGCTACTAGGATACTGCGCAAGCAGTTGTGGGATAGTGCTGCGAAAGAGAGAAGCGAGGGAAAGAAAGTGAAACTCACATATGACAAGGTAAACATCGACGGCACTCTGTTTCGATGGGATAGCAGCCTAAACAAGAGGGTTCCTATTCTTACAGATAAGACGTCTTCTGCTTCTGACGTTCAGAGCACGAGTAGGCTTAGGCGCAATCGGTTAACTAGTAGAGGCTGCAGGAAAAGTATCCGTTGCCTAAATATCAGTGCTCGTAGCATTCTTAACAAGTTAGCTGATTTGGAAAGTATTATATTATGGCACACAATCCGCACATCATAATTGTAACCGAAACCTGGCTCCTTCAAGACGTCAGTGACCACGAGTTAATACCAAAGGGCATTAGAATCTACCATAATGATCATCACGGTAGGGGAGGCGGAGTCGCTATTTTTCTCAAAGAATCGCTGCAGGCGTCCAGATTAGCGAATGTGCCGGGCATTGAAAGTGTTGCGCTTATACTATTCCTTGAAGAATGCAACCTGATTGTTGTGGGTATATACCGCCCTCCAAATTGTGATAGTTCCTTTGCTGAAAACCTTAACGAGTTCTTGTGTTTGAACACTATTCGATTCGGCAACCTGTTACTCGCGGGTGATTTCAACTTACCAGCAATTAATTGGTCAGACTATTTCCCAGAAGCTCTTACTGTCGCGTCTCAACCATTCGTTGACCTCGTTATCTTGCACAACTTAACCCAATTAGTTAAATCCCCTACACGCACTCAACAAACAGCGGAGTCTATTTTGGATCTTTTTCTTGTTTCTAATGAGCTTTTAAGGACGAGTCCAAGAATAGATATTTTTGAAGGAATATCTGATCACAAGATGGTATCCTTAACTTTAGAAATGCAGTTTTCTTCGAAACTTCAAATAAAAAAAGTATAATCCCATTGTTTACCCATGCTAGTGACGTCGACGTACTCGATTTACTTGGTAGTTCGTTCTCCGACTTCAGCACTCTGTACGAAAAAACTGATGGCTCCGTCGAACAAATGTAGCGTTTATTTAAGGAACTGGTTTTTCGATGCATTGCGCAGTTCGTGCCAAAAAAAAAAACAAAACAAAAGATTGTGCGCAGCTGTAACCCTTGGTTGACGAGGGACCTCGTTCGAATGGGGCGTAAGCTTAAAAAGGCGGGAACCAGGCACAAACGTCTTCCAACAAGCGCTAACGCTGAAAAGATTACTCGAGCTACGCACTATGCTAGGAAATGGTATCAAAAAAGCAAAGTGCACTTCCAAAACGTCACACTGAAAAACTTTCTTCTCTCATCCCCTGATAAGTTCTGGTGGCACTTGTCACCGCAAAAAAAAAGTCTCTGCCGCGTCTGTCCGCCGGTGACACAGTACTCGACGGCAAGCTTGAAATAGCTCAAGTATATACTTAACACATATTTCTGTTCTGTGTTCACTCACTTCGCGTATCGAAGAAATAAAAACTTCGCGTATCGAAGAAATACTGCCGATTAATGACATATTCATTAGTGAGAAGGGGGTCTTGACGTTGCTTCTTAAATTAGACA